TCATTCAACATCATCCACACACCTGACCTGACATCCTCAAGTGATAATAACAACATATTTTTGTACTTTTTGAATAAAGAAAGTGGGTAAATATACAGAATGGAAGCTATACAAAGGTAGGACAAATTTGGGGTATGACACCTTCGTTATGCGAAGAAAAGTTTGTTATGCGAACTATTTTCGCTTCTGCTCGCTCCCTCTCGCTTTAAAAAAATTTCTGCTGATTTGGTTCTATTTACTTCTGTTGTTGCTCACTTTAACTTTGCATTGCGACCTTTGTTATGAGAAGAAAAGTTCGCTATGTGAAACTTGCAGAGCATGGCTGATTTGGTTATGTTTCTTTCTGTTGTTGCTCACGTCAACTTCGCATCACAAACTTCATTATCCAAAGGAAAGTTTGTTATGCAAAATTTTCAGGGCATGATTTCTTCTTGCTTGTACCTAATGTGTTCTTTTGTTAATCCCTGTAAAACTATAACCATTCAAGAGTAACATCCTTTTGGATCTTTTGTTAGTCAAGTTTTATCTTAAAAGTTAATGAAAGCAAGCATTTCTTTCGAGTTTTGACCAAAGATATGTTAACTATTGGATTTCCATCAAATTCTCCCCAACTTAGTTTCTTGGTTGTCCTCAATCAAAAGCATGAGCTTTTTAAAAAAATGTTTTCAGGATTAATCAATTATTTGAAAGAACAATTTGAAAAATGAATGGCTCAACTTTAATTCCCCAACTTTTCGATTACTTCTCAATCCTTGATCTAATGGTCATGAAACTTCATGGGTAGGTGTAATATGTTATTAGGAACATTTTTGCTTCACACTTTGAGGTCAAATTCCTTATGGTTGAAGAGTTGACTTTTCGGTCAACGAAACGATTGATCGATGACTACCGAGTCGACTGTTGATATTCTGAGTCTTCTGAGACCTTGAAACTTATTGAGTGGACTTCCCTAATCCATATGAGCTTCATGGACCATAATTTCATCATTGGAACACCTTTTAAATCAAAAGTCAAACTACAATTGACTTTTCCTGATCAGAAACCCTAATCGGGTGTCCTGGATTGCACTGTTCTTGATCTTTGGGTTACAACCTTAAATTGGACTCATACTTGATCCAATGGAGTATCTTTGATTATGTAGAGACTTGTTTCATGGAGGATCATTCTAATACATTGACTGATTAAACAGTCGAAACCTCGACTCCCGATTGTACGGAACCCTGATTCACCTGTAACTTAAGAAAGACAAATTTGAAGTAGGTTAAGGTTAGATAAACAAATGAAGATGATCCTAAAATGATGATGAGGATCTAAGGGGTCAAAATTTGGGGTGCAACAGATGCCCCTATTTAAATATCTTCACCAGATGGCACTGAGAGATGATAATCCTCATAGAATCGTGATGGAATTGATTTTTTTAGTACGTTATGTATATTGTTTTATGTGCTATCTACTTATCTTTAGAGTTAATAGTTAATAATAAAGTATATATTATATTCAAATTGCAAAATTACTTTGTAAAATAATTATCTATATTTTTTAAAATTGATTTTTAATTTGATTAATTAAAAAAACTACTAAAATGTGCAAAACTAATTAAATAAATTTTGACAACTTTTTTTTTTAAAAAACTATCAACATTATTTAAACTTTTTTAAGGAAATCATTAGTAAATAAATAACTTTTAAAAGTTAATGATATAATATGTTTTTAAGTATATTTAGATATGCTCTTAATTAATTTTAAAAAAATTACGAGTAAATTGGTATACTTAAAAATGCTCATGATTAAGTTTAAAAAGAGTATATTTAGATATATGAGTAATAAGTATATTTATATATGCTCTTAATTAAATTTAAAAACGTATATTTAGATATAATAACTTTTATAAACAAACATTAACATTATCAAATAACCTTAATACACTACAAGAAACATTGCATTTTTCCAAGTGATTTTCACGTCATTAACTCAAAAACCACTTCACTAACCAACTTTTGCGACGTGGGTAAAACACAGCGGAAATGCAATGGTGGGAACATGTTCCCACGTGGAAAACATGTCACAAAGTTGTGACATAGTTCCCATGTCGCAAATAACAAAATTAAGAGAAAATCTTCCCACGTGAAAACCAAGTCACTAATTAGTGACGTGATATTCATGTGGGAAACTACCTTTACCAATTTTGTCTGCACGCCTGCCTGACACCAATTAAATTTGGTTCTCATATGATTCTCACGTCACTAATTTGTGACTTGGTTTTCACGTGGGAACCCAATGACTCTGGGCACTAATTAAATTGGTTCCCATGTGATTTTCACGTCACTAATTAGTGACGTGATATACATGCCACAACAAAAATATGTTTTATAACAGTGACATTGTTTGCACTTCACTATAAAATTTAATAATAAAAAAATAAAAATAAATATTAACTAAAAACAGCTATAAAATTAAAATAAATATTAAATATTAACTATAAAATTTAAAAAATTAAAATAATATACATTAAAAAATATATAAATATTTAGTTACATGAAATTCACATCACAAATATAAAAAATTTTAATCTAATATGCATGTTAACATGACAAGCAACTGTCATATTCATCTTCTAAAAAAGTTGTTATCCATATTCATGGTCAATGAATGGTATCACACCCACATGAATAGCATGATTCAACCGATAAGACTCCTCTCATTTAGTTGTTAGACCATAATGAAGAAGAAAAATAGTGAAATATGTCTGAAACTATTCTTTAAATATTCACTCTTAGTTATGTAGAGACGTTCTCCATTTTCTAAAAAAATGAATTATACTTAAGTATGATTTTTGTATATACATATTTAATTAATGTCATAATTTCAAAAAGTATATGTATCTATATAATTGATTTAGTCTAAAACATATTAATAAACATTTTCACTTTTTATTTATAGAAATCGAGACCTCTTAGTTTCTTAAAAAAATATTTCATTTCTATCTATTCTAAAAATATATATTTTTACTACAAATTATTTTTAATGTATAATATATATTCATTATTTTTAAATTATAATATATATTCATTATTTTTAAATCATAATATATTCATTAAAGTATATTATATATTCACTATAATTTTATAAAGTATAATATATATTTATTATTTTTAAAGTATAATATAAATTCACTAAAATAATATATTATACTAATAATAACATATTTAAAATATAATATATATTCATTATTTTTAAAAATCTGTTTTTAATAATTGAATGTGTAAAAATAATGTATAAAAATAATGTATTAAATGTGTTGTTCCGTTTTTAACATATTTACTAAAATAAAATAATATATATTATACTAAATCTGTTTTTAATAATCTATTTTTAAAAATCTGTTTTTAAAAATCTGTTTTTAAAAATCTGTTTTAAAAATCTATAATATATATAATTGATTTACTAAAAATAACACATTTAGTACATATTATTATTTTTTAATAAAAATACTTTATCAAAGAATAATACATTTAAAAATAACACTTTTTAAATATAATACATATTCTTTATATTTTTAAAAAATATATATTAATTTTTTCTATTTACAATATTGTTTACTAAAAATATTTTTTAAAATTCTATTTTTTCTAACATAATAAATATTTTGTTTTTAAAAATTAAAAATACATAACATATTTAATTTGCTTCTAATATATTATTTTTGTTTCTTATAAATATTCTATTTTTCTAATTTGTTTCTAATAACATATTATTTTTATTATGTTTTTCTAATAAATATTCTATTTTTTTATTTTGTTTTTAATAACATTGTTTCTAACATAAAAAATATTCTATTTTTCTAATTAAAAATACATAATATATTATTTTTATTTTTTCTTTCAACAACAATAACACAGTATATATATATATATATATATATATATATATATATATATATATATATATATATATATATATATATATATATATATATATATATATATATATATATATATATATATATATATATATATATATATATATATATATATATATATATATATATATATATATATATATATATATATATATATATATATATATATATATATATATATATATATATATATATATATATATATAACCAAAAAAAATTTAAAATTTCCTAATCAATATTCTAAAATAATATTTCATATATCAAATATATAAACAAATTGTAATGCAAAAATACCTCTCAAAAGCTTCCAATGGAACTCCTTAATCAATATTAGATCTGAAAAAAAATTAACAGTTAATAAAAAGAAAAACAACATACATCATATTCACCTTAAATTTAGGTGTGAAGCAGAATAACATGAAGGTCTGGAAATGTGAGGGAGGAAGAAAGAAGAAAAGCTGAAGAAAGAAGATGAAGAAATGAAGTGAAACGAGGGTGAAAATTCTGGGATATATAATGAAACTTGCGACGTGTAAATCACAAGGGAACTGTAAATACAAAAAAGTTCTTTTTTTCCACGTGATAAGCATGTCATAAATTACCCGCATGCGCAAAAATTCAAACTTCCCTCCCCTAAAAATTCTAAAATTTCGTTGAACATTTCAGAGTTACAAAATTTATTAATTAAATAATTTAGTGACGTGGGAATCACTTGGCAACACATTTTTTTTCCACGTGATTACCACGTCACTAAATCACTAGGGAAAAACAACATTTTCTTGTAGTGATAAAAATATGATGTTCAAAACTATTATAATAATAAGTGAAATCGAAAATATATATATTTATAATAATAAGTGAAATCGAATATATATATATATATATATATATATATATATATATATATATAAACGTTAGGGTTTTAGAATCATTTCTAAACGTTCAAAACTATTATAACGATAAAAGTTAGGGTTTTAGAAAAAAAATGGAATAGTTGACCTAACGTGTTAGTCTAGGGTTTCTATTTCTATAAAAGTTTTGCCGTTTTCTTTCATTTCATATTTGTTTTTGTTACGGTTCCATGGGTCGGCGTTACAGCAAGATGCAGTTTGACAAGAGGAAACCATCAACGCCTTCCTCGGACACACTCCAATGGGTTCTTAATGGTTACTACCAGCCACCATCAACGCCAGAATGGGGTTCTAATAGTCACAACCAGCCACCATCCAAGGTGGTTTTGACTCTGCCTCATTCAGTTGAATCCGAGAGAAACATAACTGATTCAGCCACGAAGATTCAGAGGGTTACAAGAGGGTTTCTTGTGAGGAAAACTATTAAGAAGATGTTGAAGATGAAGGTGGAGTTGGAGGAGATTAAAAAGAAGGTGAACGATGAAGAAACCGTGAAGATGATAAAGGAAGTGCAAATGGAGAGAAGAAGGATCGATGAAAGCCTCACGAGTTTGCTTCGTAGGTTAGATTCTGTTAGAGTGTTTGATTGTTCCCCTCTTAGAGAGTTTAGAAAATCACTTATTAATAAAGCTATTTTTCTTGATGAATTTGTTGATCAAATTCAAATGGTGGTTAAGTGTGAAGATGAAGATGAGGAAATATTGAGAAGGATGATGGATGAGAATAGGGAGATGGTAAGAAGGATGATGGATGAGAAAGAGAAGCAATCTTCAGTACTTACATCTCTCACACAAAGAGTGGAGCAGCTTGAGGAAGCATTCACTAGTGATGCATTTGATATGAGTTTTGCTATCTTTTTTTTTCTAATCTTTTTTTTGTAACCAAATTGCTTGCCAATTTTCTGTTGAGTTTTGGAAACCCATTGCATTTGTTTATCATTATTGTGTATTTCCGTAGACATTTATGTAGTATCAGTACCAATTAATATTATCAATGATATTATTTTAGATGAATATTATACATGCTATTACACATAAAAAGGAGTACATATTTTAAAATTGTATTACTATTATAAAATATTTGCCTTATTTATAAAAAACTAAAATTATTTATTTTATATAATATTAAATAGGTTTTATTTTTAAATATACTATTCATATAAATTGCATCAATTTTATACAATAAGTTTTATTATGTGTTAAATATAAGTTTTATTATGTGTTAAATATATATAAAAAGGATGTTTAAATTTAACTATTCACTCTAAAAATAATTCAAATATCAATATTTAAAATTTTAAAATAAATTTCAAATTTTGATATTTAGTTGAAGTTTTGTTAACCAATTAAAGAAGTTTTTTAAGAACATAAATAAATAAAATAAATCTACTAAATTCATTGAGGTTTCTTAGATATGTGAAAAAATTTGGAGGGCTTATTCTGAAGGAGGGTGTACATACTTTATAATATTCATTTACATAGCATAAGTTTTATTTGATATATTTTATTATGTATTAAATATTTATGAATAAAATAGATAAACCCATTAATTTACCGTATAAATGATTTAAATATTAATATTTTAAATTCAAAATTCGATGTTGGTTTGAAGTTCTATTACCTAACTATAAAAATTATATTAAATTTTTATTGTTGTTGTTAGTTAAATATAATAAAACTTTAATAAATTTTATTTCCTCTTATTGTAAAAATTATTTGAAACAAGAAAAATACTCCAATTTATTCAAATATATTTAAAAAAAATAGAATTTTATCGATTATTTTTAAAGTAGGTGAACGTAAGCGCCAATATACATGCATAGACACCGATTTTTTACTAGTTTAATTTTTTTTTTAAAACTCATATTCATATTTTTGAAATTGTAACAATAGTTTTATTTTTATTTATTCTAATTTAAAAATTATCTTTTAATGTTTTTAGTTAAAAGGGAAATTATTTTAGGGTTTAAAGTATCTTTTGCTAGGTTTGATTTTATTTTATTTTTATTTGCTTGTGTTATAATATATTTTTTAAGTTTTTCCTTAAAGTGCGTTAACTCATAAGCAACAACTTCTGATTATCTATTCCTAATTAATTACAAAGTTGAATATATTTTCTAAGTTAGATAAATATACTAACTATAAGAAATCCCTAAATATATAAATTCATTTGATATTCATAAACTCAAATAAAAATGTGAAGAAAAAAAATGACAACAGTTTTATAAACTTACCATGGTAATAGTGTAAGAAGAACAAGAAGAATTGCGTATTGAATGATTGAGTGATTGAGAAGATTTATGAAATGAAGGTAGAATAGGAAGAGAATTCTAATAGTTTAAATTATTTATATTGCATAATTCTTTAACGGATATGATCAAATCAAATCTTTTCAATATTTTTTTAAAATATTATATTAATATATTTATTATAATGAATTAAAATTATATTATTAGATTGACATAGAGAAAGGTTCGGAAGCAGTTGTTATATTTAATAACTTATCACATATAATAATTGGATAGCTATGACTATTTAATTGAGAAAAATAAATTTTCAAGTGCGTATATTAAATATGAATCAGTATATCAAATCATACTATTGAATATGTTTCTTCTAATCTAAAGTTGTTATGCATTTAAATGTCATAATTAAATTTATGAAAAATAAATCCCAACTAACTCAAATTGAATCAAATTTCTATAAATTTTTTGAAATTTAAGAAGATATTTATGATCAAATTTTATTTCAAAATTCTTCCATAAAAATGCAAATAATTTAAATTAAAATCTAATATAATTTTAATCCATTCACATACTAAATAAATAAGAAAAAAAATATGATCGTCAACAAACAGTCACAATATGTCCTGAATTGAAATTGACAATTTAGTTGGAACGAATTCAACAAAAACAACGACGAGTGGATACTAGCTTGATGGGTTGCAAATGCCTATTACATTGTTTACCCAATCCGTTGCAGAGGTAAGATGTTTGTTCTTATTATGACGCTAAAATTGTACCAATTTTATATAAATACAACACTTCCCTTAAAATATGGTACTATATGATGCAAACAATCATACTTATCATAGTTCACACCATACAGAAACACAACAACAAGAAATCAAATTATAAAGTTTTTAAAATGAATATAAAATCTAAATAATATGTTACTCAGTCATTTCAATAAATAATTTTAAGCAACTAACAAGACAATATTATGGAAAACAATCACCATCATCATAATCATCTTGTTTATAAATTCCTTAATACATCTCCCATAACTGAATTGAATTTCCACCATCCATGCTAGCAATTACTATATCTTCACAAGGATTTTAAGAAAGGCCACTTATTTCGCCTAAATGACCATGATGGAAATAAAACGTTGTCGTACTTGCTTCTAGGGGTGAGAAGAACCCAACCCAACCCGAAGACTCGTCCCAACCCAATATAGGTGGGGTGAGTTCGGGTTGACCCCCGGGTTATCCAACCCGTCCTAATATTATGAATGAAAATGTGATTTTATTTATTTATTTATTTAATTTATTGGTATATTTAGATTATTCCAAATTTTTAATAGACTTTTCCACTTTTCACCTCATAATTTAATATATGCACTAAGTAAATACTAAGTACACATCTGTTCTCTTACATCATGTTTTTTATTTTACATCTTCTTACTATGTTTTAGGAAAAATAAAAAAGTGATGACATATTATCGGGATTTTTACAGGTTTAGATACGAGTTAGGGTCATTAAAATAACCCGATCAAAATTTAGGACAGGGTTAGGGTTAGTCATAACCCATCCCGACCTGTCCCTTGCTCACCCCTACTTGCTTCAACATCTATATCATTTTGCTTATATGATCAATCTTACTAATATCTCAAACAATCACTTTCTCAATATGGCATCCAGAAGCAAATATTGTCTTATTATTTGGATTACAATCAACCCGAAAAACACATCCATCCTCTTGCTTAAAAGTGTGAACACATTGATACATAAAGAAACCTGTGATGGAAATTTTCTGATCTTTGTATATATTGATATCTGGAAATATTTATACAAAGAGGCTCATAAACCCCTCTCCTAAGATTAATCTATACAAATTGATATTTTTGGAAATATCCTTTGTTTACAGCCAGACCACAATAGAGAGCAATTATGTGGTATTAATATGGGAAAACTAGCACACTAATAGCCATTCTTTTTCTTCTAAAAATATTGCTTCTGTAATAATTACATTACCCCCCCCCCCCCACCCTCAAGTTGGAGCATGTAAATTACATATGCCTAACTTGCTTAACAAGGAAGTGAATTGAGTGGTCCCAATAGCCTTAGTAAAGACATCTGCTAGTTGTGTTTGTGTAGAAACATAAGCTGGTGCAATATTCCCAGTAAGGTATTCGTCACGAATGTAGTGGCAGTCCACTTCAATGTGTTTAGTTTGCTCGTGAAAAACCGGGTTCTTGACGATATGAAGCGTCGCTTGAATGTCACAGTGAATTTTCATAGGTTGAGGATGTGAAATACCAAGAGTTAAAAGAAGACCTTTTAACCATTTCAGTTCTCCTGTTATAGCTGCCATAGAACGATACTCAGCCTCAGCGGAGGAACGAGATACAATTTGTTGTTTTTTAGTCTTCAAGGAGATTGGAGAAAAGCCAAGGAAAACAAACCATCTAGTAAGAGATCTACGAGTTAAAGGAAAGTCGGCCCAATTGGAATCACACCAACCAGACAATTGCATATCACAGTCCCTTCGTAATAAAACACCTTGTCCTGGGTCCCCTTTCAAGTATCGAACTACTCTGAGAGCAGCCTCCCAATGATCTACTTTAGGTTCCTGCATAAATTGAGAGAGAGCATGCACACAATATGAAAGCTCAGGTCTGGTAAAACACAGGTAAATAAGGCGTCCTACTAATCGCCTATACTGTTCTGGATGAGGAAACGACACACTTGTAGTGAGTGCCAACCGATGATTCTGTTCAATTGGCACATTTGATGGCTTAGCTCCCATAAGCCCAGTTTCGGCTATAATATCTAGAGTATATTTACGTTGACAAAGAAATATACCAGCTGAGGATCGCGTCACTTCAACGCCTAAAAAATATTTAAGAATCCCCAAGTCTTTCATATGAAAACAATCATGTAAATAGGATTTAAAATTAGTGGTAGCATCATGATTATCACCTGTAATAATGAGATCATCAACATACACCAACACTACAATGTGTACCCCAGGTTTTTGTAAGACAAAAAGTGAATAATCTGAGTGAGATTGCAGAAAACCATAGTGTTTCAGAGCAGCTGACAACTTTGCAAACCAACAACGAGGCGCTTGCTTAAGTCCGTATAGGGACTTATTAAGTTTACATACTGTGTCGGACCTTTGTGGACGAAATCCGGGGGGGAGGCTTCATGTACACAACTTCTTCAAGGTCTCCGTGTAAAAATGCATTATGCACATCCATTTGATGTAATTCCCAATTTCTTGAGGCTGCAACGGCTAACACTGTATGAAACGTAACCATTTTCACCACAGGTGCAAACATCTCTGTATAATCAATTCCTTCCTTTTGATGGTTTCCAAGGATTACTAGTCGTGCTTTGAACCGTTCTACACTTCCATCTGATTTATGCTTTATTTTGCACACCCATTTGTAGCCGAGTGCTTTCTTCTCGGGTGGCAGTTCTGTTATTGTCCAAGTTCCATTGGTTTCAAGTGCATGTATTTCACTTTGCATAGCCTCTCTCCACCAATTATCTTTCATTGCCTCAGTGTAATTGATAGGCTCTTTTTCCTGTGAAATAGATGAAAGAAAAGCACGATGTGCAATGGAAAAACAGTCATAATTCACATAATTAGTT